GTCTGACACGGTAGACGGAGCACGGTGCCGCTATTGACCAGCGTTCTACATCACTTCCGGTGGCGAGTCGCTTCTTTGTCCGCCAGCGGTGAGGGACAAGGATTATTGATCAATCGAGATTAGCCCTAGTTAGTGGGAGCAGAATTTTGATTGGACGAACGGTGAACGGTTGAATTGGATGACGAAATGATGTGTGTGTGTGTGTGAGAGCATGTGTGTGTGAGCATGTGTGTGTGTGTGAGCATGTGTGTGAGTAAGAGAGAGAGAGAGAGAGCAAGTGTGTTGATGACTGACCCGTAGCGTAAACTGGCTCGATGGTGACCTTAACATCGCAATAACCTGGTTCTATCCTAATTAAAACCTTGCAATAAGATGGTTCTATCCTAATTCAAACATTGTAATAAGATGGTTCTATCCTTATTCAAATATTGCAATAACCTGATTCTATCCTAATTCAAACATTGCAATAACCTGGTTCTATCCTAATTCAAACATTGCAGTAAGCTTGCCTTATCTCCCATCTTGGTGTATTTGAATAAAAGGGAAGCAACCTTTTACAAACCAATTATTTAACTCAAGGGCCGGTAAGTAACGGAAACTAAACCACAAAAGCAATTAAACTAACGAATCGCGTTATATTAGCTTCATTAACTCTCCTGATAAACCTTAAAAAAAATATTTATGTAATTTAAAAACAAAACGGTATCGATACCGACCATCTAAGAATTGTTCCAGACGTCGAGTAAAACGATACCCCCACCACCCCATCACGTGATCTGTAGGCGTGGCTTGTTTACATCTGTATTTCGAATACGCTATTTATAGTTTATCAAATTATTTCCGCATTTGTGCGGACCGGATTATGGGAGGGGTGGGGTTAGACCCATGATGGAAACTCTCGGTAAGGAAAACAGACACCCCCCCCCCAACACCTCCTCGGTTAAATCAGATCTCAGGGAGTCACGCAAAAATACATTGATCAAAAAATAACTTTATTTTTTCCCGAACATTGCTGTCATAAAAATATAAAAAAGTAAAGAAAAAGTAATATCTTTATATCATAAAACTGCTGTTTTTAGATTTTATTTTGATAACGTTACTTGAAAACGCAGAGGGGCGATTTTTTCAGTGTTATCTTTGCATACATATTCTCCGCCTGCAAAGTTATTAATACATTCTGCTATTTCGATGGCAGGTTTATTTTATTATTTTTTTTCAAACAGAATTTCGTGGGCTTAAAAAAAAATCACATCAACAAAAATATATCTTTAAAATATAAAAACACCAGCCAGTGAAGCCCTAATTGGCGAGCAACGTGAGAACCCCTCTCAGCCCGTGTGACAGTGTTCATTTATTCAAGGAAATAAAAGGCTCAGCTCTTGCTGGGCTTTCTCTCGCGTCACCGAGGGTCTAATTTACGTCCGTCGATACATCACGGGCCAGACCACAAGTCCAGAGCTGTGTAGAGCCTACCCCCAATCCCAGAGCCGTGCAGAGCCTACCCCCAACCTCCAACCCCAGGGCCGTGCATAGCCCCCCATCCTAACCCCCATCCCCAGGGCCGTGTAGAGCACCCCACTCACCCCAACCAACACCACGTCTAGTCATTTTCTGTCTCGCACTGTACGAGATGTACAATCAAGTGTAACGAATATTTATTTTATATAGGTAATGGTAAAGTCTTGACCGAAAAGTTTAAGACATGCTGTATAGACTATTACGTAAGTAAAAAAGCGTTATGGGGTGGCGGTTTTTTTTTCGATAGCCGGTACAATATATATTGCGATATTAAACCCAAATATACTGTATCGTTTTAAGTCGTTACATTTGTAAAAGATGCAACATTTGTAAGATGTTAATTGTTCTTGGTGGTGGGGTGGTTGAGGCATGATTTGAAAGGTCTAGGTCAGGGGTCGGCAACCTGCGGCTCGCGAGCCGCATGCGGCTCTTTTGATATCAAGATGCGGCTCTCCAGCTCCTTGAACAAATACTAATAATCTTAATAAAAAATAAAATATTTGAAATAAAAATAATGTTAGTGGCTCTTTAATACAAGGGAAATTTTGAAAATTGTAACTTTTGGCTCTTCCGCTTCAAAAGGTTGCCGACCCCTGGTCTAGGTTACCATTTGTAAAGGGGGGGGGGGGTTGCGCTATTTGTAAGGGGGGCACCATTTGTATGTGGGCATCATTTGTATGGGGGCACTATTTGTCTGGGGGTGCTTTTTGTATAAGGCCAACATTTTTTAAGGAGCCACTATACGTGCAAGGATCTAGCATTTGTAAGGGGCCATCATTTTATGGGACCATTATTTGTAAGTGACCCGTTGAATATGCCATCATTGGTTGGGTTCATTGGTTTGGTTGGAAAAAAAGCCATCGTTTTTATTGAACTGCATTTATGAGGGCCAAACATACTTAAGTGGTCAACATCTGCAAGGGAGGCCAACATTGATAAAGATCCACACTCAGCATAGGGATAGGGCCAACCATTTTATTGAGCCATCGGCCATCGTATATGGTCACATAAAATTACACTCCTCCCCCACCCCACCGTCTTCTCTCGCACACCTGCCCACCATATATTAAATAATCTCCCCCCCCCCCACACACACACACACACCCGCGGGTAACGATAAGACTCCCAGATTCTCATCAACTGCCGCTAATGACCTTCTCATTACCGACACCCCAAAGATGGACGAACGTGCCAGAGTGAGCAGAGCCTTACGCGGCCTCGGCTCTCACAAAGGAGCTCCTTGTTTAGTCATCTCGGGCGTCAGAGATAAAAATAGAACGCCTTCCCCGTAACCCTCCCCTCCCTTCCCCCCCCCCCCCCCGCGCGGTTTACCCTTTTTTCTTTAAAAAAAAGTTCGTCTGCTGTTTTGATTAAATCGTATTAAATCGTATAAACGTTAACGGGGAGGAGAAACAGAATCTCCGAAGGATTGAAGGGCGCTGTTTGTTTGTTTGTGTGTGTGTGTGTGTGTGTGTGTGTGTGCGTGCGTGAGAGCTCGAGCTATGTGTGTTTTTATGTTTCTGGCTAACCTCTCGCGAGACAGGGCTATCTGTTACTGGGTGCAAACCTAAATAAGATTAGGTTTTAGATTCTTAAAAGTACTGATTACAGAGAGGGGAGGGGTGGGTGAAAACAGAAAGGAGGGGGGGGGGGGGTGTCTAGAACGTGGTGTGTCTGTGCAATGCTCGTGCGTCCCTGCGTGAGTAATCTCCTACCTGCTAGCTGGGTTATCACGGTGTTTACGATACGGAGGCCCTCGATGTGCGGGGTGCTCAATGTGCGGGGCCCTCGATGTGCGGGGTGCTCAATGTGCGGGGTGCTCAATGTGCGGGGCCCTCTATGTGCGGGGCCCTCTATGTGCGGGGTGCTCAATGTGCGGGGTGCTCAATGTGCGGGGCCCTCTATGTGCGGGCCCTCTATGTGCGGGCCCTCTATGTGCGGGGCCCTCAATGTGTGGGGCCCTCTATGTGCGGGGCCCTCTATGTGCGGGGCCCTCTATGTGCGGGGCCCTCAATGTGCGGGGCCCTCTATGTGCGGGGCCCTCTATGTGCGGGGCCCTCAATGTGCGGGGCCCTCTATGTGCGGGGCCCTCTATGTGCGGGGCCCTCTATGTGCGGGGCCCTCTATGTGCGGGGCCCTCAATGTGCGGGGCCCTCATTGTGCGGCCCTCAACGCTGGAAACGCTTGTGTGGTGTGAGATAGCCGTGTCTAGTGATCCTTTGTGTAAGGGCAGGAGTTGAACAGGGCGGGAGTTTGTGGTGGTGGTGATGGGAGAGGGGATGTAGTACTCAGTTGTGGTAAACACACCGGCCTTGAATATGTACAACAACACATCACTCATGGATGTTTATCACATATAAAGTGTTATCTTCTGTGTGTACGACACATCCATTGCGTGTGCGGTCAAGCGAAAAAGAAAAAAACCTTGAAAAAAAAATTCTTACTAAAAATAGCACAAAAAACCCTTGTTATGACTGTTCCCGTATTGCCTTGTTATGACTATCCCATTATTGATATTAAAAAAAACACATTATAGAATCTGTATTGAATACATAGCTAAAAACACGAGTGTACTACACATTAGCACAGTGCCCTGCCTTTTCATGCTAATTCTATCAGCCTAATGGGTGGGCCGTCGACATGTTTACCTAATGTTTATATTTATAGACTAAGCCATGTGCTGGGGCTAAATGAGGGGGGGGGGTGTAGAGGGGGGTGGCTTGACGTGTAGGCACATAGGAGTGTTATTTAATACAATCTCTGGTGCCACCACATCCTACCTCTATCAGGTTGTTTATTTAACTGTGCCTGTTTTGTGTGCCTCCAGTTGAAACTGCGATGTTTAAAAAAATATCAACCAATCACATGCATGTGTTTACTTAAACGTCAACAACACGTTAAGGGTCTAGAATTATATTACCCCCCCCCCCAACGGTATAGTTTGTGTGTGTTAGTTTTAGGGTTAACTTGCGGTTTCGTGTTTACGACTCTGTGATAATAATTCATACCCGTGTTTTACTACAACTTGTGTACCACCAATAATGATATTCAACCTCAAACAGCCCTAATTAATTAAATCAGCAAGGCTAATGTATCGGTCATACCAGCTTCACTGTTACTATTTTTTTTTAAATGTCAGTAAAGATTATTTTACAATCTCGAGAAATCAACGTAATTTGTCCAGAACTAACCGAGACGTCACAATGTAAACATTGACAATCACTCACAAACCCAGCTATCGATCGTCACCCTACGCTTCCTAATGAACCTGACCGGAGTTAGCCGATGTGAAGAAAAATCCAGGGGGGTGGGGTGAGAGAAGGGATAGACTGGACCACTAAGTCGTAGTAGCGCGAATAACACTGCCTTCCACCACCACCCCTTCTCTTCTTTTGGTGGCTGTGTGGGTTGGCCGTACCCGCTAAAGCTACCCGGAGCCTTATTTTTTTTTTAAACAGCGAAGAAAGAAAATTTTAGAAGGAAAAAAAAAGACAGCGCGGGTGAGAGTTGAATCTTTACGGCGGGGGTGGGTGGCGGAGGTGACAGTGTAGCAGACGACCATTCAGTCCATCTGGCACGATTCGTTGATCCATAATAGCTGCGCACCGAATATCGTGGCATGAATCAGCCCAGCTTCTCTTTATGCCGGGCCCCTCAATCATTTCAGTCTTTGTTGTCTGGGGGACAGTCAAACTTTTCCTGTGTTGTCACCCTGCGAACGGTGCAGTTTTATTTTTTTTTGGCTAGATCTAGGAAGTGAACGATTTAAAACTGTTTATACTCCTGATCAAGGAGGTAAATACTATTTAGATCAACTAATTTACGTGAAAACACATCTCTACACGCTCTGACGATATTTTTAGCTCGAGTGACCTACTTTAGCCAGTCATCATGGTCTGCTCCGTGATAATCAAGGTTAGATTTTTATATTCGTTCGCACAAGTCTTATTTATTTTTTAACCTTTAACTTCTACCTTATTTACGTTCTAGTATTAACAATAATTCTTATTTTGTATTCGAATTTACTAAACCAAACAAGCAGGCTGGTTCCGCAAAGATCTAGATCTAACACAGTATGATTGTTTACTTGGCCTTGACAGTGTGTTAGTCACAATGTGCCGCCTTCACACCGCCCCTTCTCCGTAGTCTCGCGCTAACAAAGCTTTTATTTTGAACTGTTAGCCCAAGGCTCTACCCTGTATTTAAAACAAAATACAAAATACAAAGCTTTTATTTCAACTGGATTGTATTTTATTTAAATATTTAAAAAATAATTTCTAATCGGCTGAATTAAGCTTTTTTTTTTTTTTTTTTTTAAAGAATCATTCACCACCGTCATTTTCTTCATCGACGTGTTGTCGTCTGCTACGCCGCCATAGGCCTAACGAACAGCTGTCAAGGGGTACAATATACCAGTAATTTTATCGATTTTGACGTGCATTTGCACAGTTATTCCCCGTTGCATGTATCCAGTGTTTGACCCATCTCAAAGGGTTTTTCGAAACTCATTAGAAAATGAATGGGAAGGCATCAATAGGGATGTTTGGGTAATAAAACGTTATCTGTAGTGTACTGCTTTTACTCAGCTCATTCATTTGCAGTAATATCTCGTTTTAATGTTTGTTTAAACCCCGACCAGAAATTAATGCTAGTCTAATTAGAAAAATACATACAAAATATTTTCTTTTTTTTTAAAGAGACGTTTTTATACGTCCCGTTCGTAACAAATTATAGTAATTACATTAAAAAAATATGGGCAATGGTCTGTCACTGAAGATAATCACAGGCCACCCTCCCCCTCCCCCCCTCAACTCTCTCTTCCCGCGAGACACTGATGGCTCACTAATTTAAAACAGGGCAAATTAGTTTTACAAATTGATTACTAATTGTGTCGGTGTATGTGGTCAATAGTTGTGGTCAATATCCGTACCATAGAGCTAGTCTCATGAGGGTTTTGTGTGTGTTTCGTGTTGATCGCTGGTATGTTATGTACACATACTTAGACGGATTTCGCCATATCCTGCGTTTGTTTTAAAAAAAGTTCTATCTGGCATCTGAAGTACACAGATTTTGAAAATACCAAGCCTTAAATTAGATCCAAAAGTCCCAAACCTTACATGGATTGCTAAAGTACCAATCCTGTACCCGTTCCAAAAATACCAATCCCTATACCGGTTCTAAAATTATCAGTCCCTTTACCGGTTCTAAAAGTTCCCTTCCTTAAAATGGTCCCAAAAGTAAAGTTACCCTTTTTAGATCTGGCGATGCATGTGGCAGATGAAGTCGAGTACACCTGTTTCTGTCACCTCGACATAGGAAGGGATAGTGTGGTCAGCACCGTGACCAGCCACCATAACTTTACCTAATGTGAGTCAGGTACCAGCTGAGTGGACTCAGGGACGTCCTTTGACCTTGAACATGGTACCCAAACTCGAGACTTTCGGGTTAGCAGTCGTTTGCTGGTCCCAAACCTACCAATCCTTCTACTGGTTTGATATGTACCAATCCCCACATTGGTTCATAAAGTACTAATCCCTTTATTAATCCCTATACTGATTCCAAAAGTATGAATCCCTATACTGATTCCAAAAGTATGAATCCCTATACTGATTCCAAAAGTATGAATCCCTATATTGGTTCATAAAGTACTTATCCCTACATTTATTCATCAAGTACTAATCGCTGAATTGGTTCCTAAAGTAGCTGAAATAGCTCGTATAGTTTTCAGACTGGTTGCCAAAGCTCCCCATGGAAAAGGTTATACATATCTAGTTCCATCAGAGATCACATATCTCTTGTTCACACTTTACCCTCCCCTTCTCACAACTCCTGACAATCAAAGTGAGTACTTCAAGTAAGGGTGCCACTTCCAGGTATGTGGGAGGTGGGAGGTTGGGGTGGGGGTGGAGGAGGATAGTAGCACAGGTGATAGCACCATCAATTACATTAGTGCCAGTAGCACTTATGACACTAACAACACTGGTGCTATATTAGTAGCGCTATTCAAATAGCACTTTCTCAGTAGCAACGTCCACGTTAGTACTGCTACTTAGTTCTGGCCCGTTAGTACTGGTCTAAGTAGTAGCTCTGGTCCGATGGCACTGGTCCGGTAGCACTGGTCCGATAGCACTGGTGTGGTAGCTCTGGTGTGTTAGCACTGGTGTGGTAGCTCTGGTATGGCAGCACTGGTGTGGTAGCATTGGTCTGATAGCACTGTTTTAGTAGCTCTGGTCTGGTAGCACTGGTCTGGTAGCACTGCTTTAGTAGCACTGGTCCGGTAGCATGCTAGAGCAGAATTGTACCACAAAATTCCTTGTAACACCGATGTTGAGTTATCTTTTTCCCCCTTACACTATTCCTCCCGATATTAGCCGTACCGTGTTTTGTACATCTTCTCTCTCCCCCCCCCCTCCCTTAATGTATTTCACCCTCGACATAGTCCCCCGCTCCCCTCCTCTATTGACCTTTCTTATGCACTCCCTCCACCTTGACATATAGCCTACCCTCTCGATAATGAACTCCCCCGTTAACAAACCTCCCCACCCACGTCGTATAGATATCTTAACAACCTCGATATAACACGACGCTTTGGGTATATTCGTATCTCCACGATATAGATCTAATACGTCTGTTGTAAAGTCTTATTTGGTGGGGAAAAAAGTTAACCACTGGGGGGCAAGTTTGTAGAGATACTTTACCTAAAGGACACACGAACATTTAAAACACTTTTGGGATTTCCTTTTGTCCAGTCGCGGATCACTTACAAATCCACAGAGTGTCTTGTGCGAGCACGGACACTGTCCACTGTCCAGGGCTAAATTGCTGGGGCGCCTACTGTGGATTTGTCGCCAGGTGAACTCTACTTCACCTACTGACCGTCTCATCCAAAATATCCTTTTTTTTCCCAACATGATTTTTTTCAAAACATTTTTTTCGAATGAACATTGTTTACATAGTACATATTTTTCTCAATAGTGGGCCTACCTCGTAAATATTTTTTAACTTCCTCAGGGGCCTAGTATTCACCATACCAATATACTTTATAAACGCGTGTATGACTTATGTGCCGGATTTAAAAAAAAAAAAACAGTTCCTTTCGGTACGCCGTGTTTTCCTCGCATTGTACTTTCCTCTTTTGTTTTTAAAAATTCTTTTTACCCATTTCTCGGGGATTCTCAGAACGTTTCCCACGACACACCCCGACACACGCTACCCAACTGTGTACCTCTGCCAACTACTGTATGCGTGTGAAGCCTGAGTCCCTGCCAGTTTGCTAAGGAAGACAGGGCGTATCTCTCATCTCAAGTGCCGCTGGAACTTATCCAGTAGCTTCTCGCACACACACAAATTCTTCTTTTAAATTTAAGACGTAAGCTAACCTTACTTGTCGCTTTCTGCAATTCCACACATTATTTTAGTAACATTTATATTCGGATTTGAATTGACGAGCTTCCGCTTCATAGCCACCTTTTCAAAGTTTTTAAAATATGCCTAACTTACAACGCACTACCAGCCTGGAGTAATTATCCGTCGTTATAATAATTATAATCAAGTCCTGCGACCACAGCCTCCCCATCTCTAGCGACCCCTAGTTCCCCATGGCTCTAATGACCCCAGTTCCCCATGCCTCCAATGACCCCTGTCTCTAACGACCCTGTTCCCACTGTCTCTAATTACCCCAGTCCCTCTGTCAATACTGACCCCAGTTCCCCTGTCTCTAGCGACCCAAGTCCCCCCTGATAGCAACCCCAGTTCCCACTGTCTGTAATGACCCCAGTTCCCACTGTTTCTAGTGACCCCAGTTCCCACTTTTTCTAGTGACCCCAGTTCCCACTTTTTCTAGTGACCCTAGTTCCCACTTTTCTAGTGACCCCAGTTCCCACTTTTTCTAGTGACCCCAGTTCCCACTGTCCTAATGACCCCAGTTCCCCCTGTTTCTAGTGACCCCAGTTCCCCCTGTTTCTAGTGACCCCAGTTCCCATTGTTTCTAGTGACCCCAGTTCCCATTGTTTCTAGTGACCCCAGTTCCCCTTGTTTCTAGTGACCCCAGTTCCCCTTGTTTCTAGTGACCCCAGTTCCCATTGTTTCTAGTGACCCCAGTTCCCATTGTTTCTAGTGACCCCAGTTCCCCTTGTTTCTAGTGACCCCAGTTCCCCCTGTTTCTAGTGACCCCAGTTCCCATTGTTTCTAGTGACCCCAGTTCCCATTGTTTCTAGTGACCCCAGTTCCCATTGTTTCTAGTGACCCCAGTTCCCATTGTTTCTAGTGACCCCAGTTCCCACTGTTTCTAGTGACCCCAGTTCCCACTTTTTCTAGTGACCCCAGTTCCCACTGTCTCTACGAACACCTACACAACAACCCCATTGTGTTGATCTTGGCTATTAGCGCCGCCGCCGTGTTATTTCTGTTAGGCCGAACTGTTAATGAAACAAATATATTCTTAGCAGCATCAACATTTCTCCCCCTCCTCTGCTATTAGCCGTTTCATAGCCCGAATCTCACATCTGCCCCGGCTACCGTGCCGCCACCCGCTCCCCCTCTTACTCTCAGGCGTGAGTAGATTTATTTCTTCGTCTACTGGCTCAAATTTTCTATTTTTATTTTCACCCCCCCCCCCTCCAAACACTCATCTACACATATGTAGACGCATCTCGTAGAGGCACAGCGAATAGCTTTAACCTAATTCCATTACATCTGGACCTAGAAACGGTAAAGATAAATATTTCCAGCCCTCGGCGTGTCTTCGAGAACCCTGAAAAGTTTGGAACCAGGAGTAGAGTACTAACTTTAATACCTCCCCCCCCTCCCCATTTTATTTCAGGTAGTTAGATACCAGCATCAGTAATGGCCTCCACCATACCGTAAATCTGAAAAAAAAAGTTTTTCCTCCAGATTCCGTTTGATCACACTTATCA